TTTTCAACCTTAGGCTGGAAAAGCAGTGTAAAATAAGATGGCAAAATAAGATGGCGACTCGAAAGCATTGTTCCAGCTGCAAGAAAAACTTCGGAAAATCTGCTTATTATATGCACCTTCCCTGTGTATTGGAAGAACAGCGAGGGCCTGTAGTATGTAATGCGACTGAATATGTGTTCTGCAAGCACTGTAATAAGCGGGTTGCTAAAAAACATATGATGAACATCAACGTTTGCTGAATGTTTCATTAACTTCTATGTACTCCAGTGGAGCTTTGAATACCCAAACGTCAGTTTTTGATAGCGTTGACATTGAGCTTGATAGCAACAACGACGGAATTCCAAGCTCTGATAACGTTAAAGAGTTTATTGATGAGGAAGTCCAAGAACAAGAACAAGAAGATCAAACATTTTACAGCGACTTATCGGACGTTTATACCGAAGGAGAAAGTAGCGGATCCGACAAGGAAAATGATAGCCAGGTACGAATAATATGAATGCAAGCATTAAAAACCAAAACCGAAATTGTGAACGTAAAGATTAAATTTGTGTGTAGTTCACTGCAGTAAAATGTTAAGCACATGAGATGGATATAGAAATCCATTATGAATGTTAAACATTCTCATATAAATGATAAATAACAACAATGATTATAAATATTTTTGATTTATAGATAAATTCAGAGAATCGAAGGGATAATGATGTGCAAGATGTCGAAGAAGAAGAAATATTGGAAGATGATGTTCAAGGTGAACCAGAAAACAACTCAAGCCACACTGATAATAATATTTCTGCAGAATCCAAAGCTTTTGTTCTCTTTTTGCTTTTGTGGCAAATTTTGTACAAAGTTTCAGATAATGGTATTTCAGTCTTGTTGAAATTTTTCAGACAATTCTTGATAGCAATTGGGTCAATTTCTGGATGTGATGTTTTGGTAAACTTTGCAGAAACATTACCAGGCACACTTTACATGGCTAAAATTAAATTGGGACTAGAAAAGGATGACTTTGAAAAGTTTGCTGCATGCCCAAAATGCATGAAACTGTATAAATTAGAGGAATGTACATATACAAAAACAAATGGTTCTGTTTCATCCAAACGATGCTCACATGTAAAGTATCCAAATCATCCCCAAAGGAGAAGACTTACTGAATGTGGAGCATTTTTAATGAAGAAAATGARAAGTAAGTCTGGATCTGTTTACCTGCAGCCAAAGAGAATGTATTGTTTTCGATCACCYATTTCTTCATTAAAAACTTTGCTCTCAAAACCTGGGTTTWTTGACAACTGCRAAGAWTGGAGAAAAAGAAACSTCGATGAAGGCAAAATGGGAGATGTTTATGAAGGGAAAATATGGAAGGACTTTCTTGACATTAATGTTGTGTGCCTACTTCATTAAATATTTTTGCTTGTTGGCACTGATCTTGCAAAGTCCTTCTCTTGTTAATCGCCAGTTTGAACTTTGCGAAAGAGCAGTTCATGTTTGTTCTGACACGCAGAAGACGAATCAAGGGCAAATTTGAATATTAGATTGCATGCATTTTTTTCAACAAAGAAATACAATTCACTAACGAAGTTAAGGTTCTGCTTAAGTAGAATCTCTTCTCTTTAGAGAAAACAAGAATGCCAATTGTTATTTTTTAAGAAGTCGTCGTTTCAGAAAACAGCCTGTTCCAAAGCATATTTTTTCTCAAAACATCGATGGTAATGCTTAAGAGTCGATGTCAGGGAAAATCAAACAAATTCTAAATATCGCGGCAAGGTTCAAAATTTAGAATCCTTTGAAATTTCTACAATAGATAGCCACTAATAAACTTAAAGCAATGGTGTAGTTTTTTTTAGAAAAATATTAAAAATGTACACAGATACATTTTTTTTTTAAATCACGCCTAAAATCCCCATTTGGCAAACCAAATTTTAACTCAAGTTTGACCCTCGTTTTCATCAAAACGAACGTCTCTAAAGACGTTTTCTTTATATAGTATTGTAGACAAGTATCAAAAGATTACTCTCTGTCGTTTTTAGCAAAAAAATATATTTTGGGGAGAAATTATATTTTTCGAAAGATTGGGTAAGTTTTTATCCGCTCGGAATATGCTTAAGTAAAGAAATGTTTTCCCCATGTGCGAAACCTTCAAACTTCTTGAAACTTCGCTAAATGGTACTTCGAAAGATAGGATTTCCATCGATGTAAAAATATTTTTGGGCAAATCAAAATATGTTAAATTAGACTCTTTTTAAAACTGCTGGAAATCGATGAAATACTAACTAGAGCTATTTATAGCACAACACAGCGTAAACACATTCTTTTGAACTTTAAAATGTCTTCTACAAGGGTGAATGTTGTAATTTGAAAATATACTACATATTTAGATATCTTCTAACCTTTGCCTCGCTGAGAATCCAGGAAAACCCACTGTAAATCCAGGAAATCTTTGAACTAAACGGTGTTGGAGTGCTATTANAAAAAATATATTTTGGGGAGAAATTATATTTTTCGAAAGATTGGGTAAGTTTTTATCCGCTCGGAATATGCTTAAGTAAAGAAATGTTTTCCCCATGTGCGAAACCTTCAAACTTCTTGAAACTTCGCTAAATGGTACTTCGAAAGATAGGATTTCCATCGATGTAACAATATTTTTGGGCAAATCAAAATATGTTATATTAGACTCAAGTGACACAAGAATTTATACACATCACTTTTTATCCATGCTCTCTTTGTTTTGAGTATTATTTACAAAATTACTTACCAAAAATGAGCTTCTAGTATTTTTTTGACTTTTGCTAATTATGCAAATTCAAAGTCACGTGACTCACTTAAGCTACTTCTACAGCATTGCCATCATATATGTTTGAAATCTACACACTATAAGCTTTAATTTGATATATGGTAACCTTCATCCCCTTGAGTGGTAGCGATCCGTCATTTTTTGCCACTTGGCCCATGGACTATACTAAGTATGACTAAATACCTTTCAAAGTTCCTAAAAGATCTTTCTCAGATGAGTGAGCCACTACGACGTCTCACGCATAAGGATGTGCAGTTTGTCTGGACCAAAGAGCACGAACAATCGTTCAATGATATCAAGAAGACGATTTCATCAGCACCCATCCTAAGAGGGATTTTCCCGTAGGGTCACCTATGACTTGCAAAATAATTTTTTATCAAATCTCTCAAAACGTGCATGTAGAACCGGCTTTTGAAGCTGAATCCAATGGTATAAGTTTTATCTCGATCAGATRAATATTTAGGGAGCATACATGCTTACGACGTAAACCGGAAGTAACATGAAAGCGAGGCCTACGGGACCCAGTTGTCCAAAATGGCGGACAAGAAGAAGTGTTCGCACAGATGTTGTGCCGCTGCTTTGTGCAATRATCGCACCGACAATAATCAAGACCTCACTTTTCATACCTTTCCTAAGRATACAATTCGCAGAAAAGAATGGGCGTGGAAAATGAAGCGAGATGATGAACAATTTGCTTGGAATAGCTCACTGTTTTGTTGCGAAGAACATTTCAAGCCAGACGACTACCGAAAAAGTTTAACTGGACTACGGAATGACTTGAAATCAACTGCTGTACCATCAGTCTTTCATTGGACAATTGATAAACAATGTACAGATCTCAGAAAGACGAAATATAGACAAAGTAAAGAATAGTATTGAACTTATTAGTAGCAATACGAATGTGAATGAAACCGAGGATATAAGCTGTTCTTCTAAACAAGAAATTCCTAATTCCGAAACTCCAACGATCGATGAACTTTGTGCACGTGTGAAACAATTGGAAATGTAGCTAGAACTATCGAAATTTGGTCTAGCGAGATTTTGTGGAAGCGATAATGATATATATTTCTATACAGGATTCCCAAAATATGAGATTCTTATGGCATTTTGGAGGTATGTCGAACCTTGTGCTGATTCATTATTGACATGGAAGCATGCTAGGACTAAAGCTGATGAGCAACTTGGAAGGTGTTTTCCGTATTTACACGATGAAGACAGGGAGAGATTGAGAAGCAGAGATATTCAACCAATTGATCAGTTGTGGATGTTTTTGGGAAGAGTTCGATTAGGATTGTTTGAAAGAGACCTTGCCTTTAGATTTCAAGTGGCTCTAAGTACTATGTGAAAAAATCAAAAGTCATTTAAAAATCAAGTCATTTACCAGAATACCAAGATGTAAGAGGAATTTTTGATTGCACTGAACTGAAATGTGACACACCCAAAGACTATCAAACACATTCTGAACTGTACTCAGACTACAAATCCCACGACACATACAAGGGATTCCTGTGCATTTCTCCCAATGGCTGGTCATATTTGTTAGTCATCTATATCCTGGAAGAATAAGTGACAGGGAGATCTTGGAAAAAAGTATATTTTTTAGTCTGATTGAACCAAGAGATAAATATCTTGSTGATAAAGGTTTTGATGTTCATGACCTTGTTGCATTGAAGGGTGGTAGCTTATTTATTCCTCCAAAGAGACAGTCAACCAAAGATCAATTTACTAAAGAAGAGTGCTTTCAAACCATGAGTATTGCTAATCTTAGAATCCACGTGGAAAGAGCGATTTGCAAGGCAAAGGGTTGGCATATTTTTGATCAGGTTATTCCACTCAGTCTTCACGGCTCAATTAATCAGCTTTGGACAGTGTGTTGTTTATTGGTAAACTTTCAAAATCCAATTATCACAACTTAATGGCCCACATGCATCCAAGAACCTTTGCTATCATTTGTTTTGATTTACAAAATATGATATCTTGTTGAAAGTTGCTTTCTGATAGACAAATAGGTAGATGAGGAAATCATTCATATACTAAAGAAACCCGACCTGGATAAGGAGGATCTAAAGAACTACAGACCTATATCTAACTTATCTTATGTGTCTAAGCTTACAGAGAAGATCGTGGCTAAGCAGATGACCAGTTATCTAAGTTCCAACAATCTCGATGAAGCGATGCAATCTGCTTATCGAGCAAACCATTCTACAGAGACTGCTTTGTGCAAAATCTACAATGACATAACACTGTCACTTGATAGAAATGAATATGTTTTGCTTGTTGCTTTGGATCTATCGGCTGCCTTCGATACGATTGATCACCCATTGTTACTTAGAAGGTTAGCACATCGTTTTGGAATTACTGGAAGATGTCTGCATTGGATCCAATCTTACATAGAGGGAAGGAAACTAAGAGTCGTTATTTATGGTACCCTTTCTGATCCTAAAGACCTATGCTATATGTCCCTCAGGGCTCAGTTCTTGGGCCCAAACTATTCACTATGTACCTTATTCCGCTTGGTGATATTGCACGTAATCATGGTGTTCGTTTCCATGCCTATGCTGACGATTGTCAGCTGTACATTTCCTTCTCAAAGGTAACTGTCCCCACGATCAAGTCAAAGATGGAAAATCTCCTTGTAGATGTCAAGAAATGGATGACAACTAACATGCTTAAGTTAAATGATGACAAGACAGAAATAATTGCTTTAGATGGTCCTCGTCGTACCCCTGTAGAACTACAGTCTTTGAAAGTTGGTGATGAGGTAGTTGAAATCTCGAAGGTTATTCGACTTCTTGAGTTGACATTTATGCAAACTTAAGAACATGTTCAAAATCAGACGGTGTGTGGATAACAAAGCAGCCAAGGCCATTTATTTACCAAATAAGTCACGCATTCATTACTGAATATTATGGAATATTAAGGCCATGTTCCATTCCATGGTAACATCCAAACTGGACTATTGCAACGCAATTCTCTATGGCCTGCCGCCTGAAGCAGCACTGAAGTACTTAACCAGAGTACAGAGAATGTCTGCTCGATTAATTGCTGAGCGAGGGAAACATGATCACATCACAGAAATCATAAAACAACTACACTGGCTTCCGATTCGCCAACGGATCCACTACAAAGTTTTAGTGTTGACATTCAAGTCAATAAATGGGTCAGCACCTTCTTACTTAGAAGAGATTGTTACAAAGAGACCTTTGAAGAGAACAAGAGCTGACGGCAACAATGATCTTGTCATCCCTGTCATTAAACATGAGACTTTTGGAGGAAGATCATTTGCATATTGTGGCCCCAAACTATGGAATTCATTGCCAAAAGAGCTGAAGAATTGTAAAGATATAAACATTTTTAAGAAACTACTAAAGACATTCTTATTTAAGCAAGCTTATGAACCATAGTTTAGCTTGTCTTATATCTATATACATATTTTGTCTTTAATATTTATTTTTCATCATGAGTTTTTTTGTACTGTGAAGCGTTATAGAATTTTACTATATAATGCTATATAAATTGAATAAATTATTATTATTTATTCAGAGGTTTTTGGATGCACATGGGCCTTTAAAATTTTGACTTAAGAATGTACATTTTACAACAATAATTACATAATCAGTGTGTGTTTTGGTACAAGTAAGACTGACTGTATACATCATGTCAGTAAATGATATAAGAAATGTGTGAGGCATTCTTTTCAAAAATAATTTTAACAAGCTGAGAAAGTTACAAAATGCACTATTTTAAAAGTGATAGTAAAGAACCATGCTTTGAACCATTTTCTGCAGCATACTGCATGTCAATGAAAACAATAACAGTTAATTTGAGTTAAAAATTTTATTACTATGGAAAACTTTATTGGAATAAACTTTCAATATAGCTTTTTACAACACTGCGGGCGTAGCCTAGGCAATGTGCAATATACATGTCCTATATATATATAAGGAAAAAAAATACGAAATAAAAGGATTAATAAAATGGAATGAAAACTATTCCGTTCGCAGGGCAATTCAAGTCATACATTTACATAATTACTGGCACGAAAATCTCTTAACAATTTCACAATTCTGTGAGATAATCCATTTCTGTGATCGTTCAATTGTTAGTCTTGCAATGTTCGGTTTTAATAGAATAGTCATTTCTTTATCTAGGTCTTTATAGTATGAAGCAAGAAAATCAAATACAATAGTGATAAGTTTGACTTTACACGTTTCCAATATCTCGAACGCAACTTACATAAATGATATTACTACAAGCGAAGTTTTGCAAGATGGCCAAAATGCTAATGAGATGTTTTTGGACGCAAATGTGAATACGTCCTTTCTTGAAGTCCCTGAGGAGTTAACATCAACACATGAGGGATCATTGCTTGAATATATGAGCCAGTAAACAAGCCATCAAGAGTTTACTGGGGCTGCAAAGCCGACGGAGAAGATATTTGGATAAACACATCAACAATTATTGATGCTTATAATAAAGTAAAAACTTGGCGAAAAACACTTTTCTAGTTCCATATGGGAAAATGGGGCGAGAATTTATCGATCAAATAACGAAACACCTCGATGACTGGAATAGCAAACGACAAACAGAGCATATTGCCTTAACGGCTGCTATTGTTCTTCTTGCCCTCGCCTTGCAAAAGCCGAATTA